AGACCGTTACATGAATTTTAAAAAATAAGAAGTCATCATTAATCTTTTTTTAGTCTACCTATTAAAATTTATTATTTTAATAAAATCTTAAAATTAATTAAAACTTTATTAAAAGATTAATTTTTTGGTGTGAAAAAATAATTTAGGTTCAAAAAAACGATTACGTATAAAAAAAGATTAACACCTCTAAAATGTCCATCCAAAAATAATATCAAGTAATCACGTATTATTCTTTGATCTTAATAAAAATTATCTTGATATTTAATATTAATTACCTTGACTCTCATTGTTTATCACAATTTTAGTTTTTTATTTTTATTTTATTTTCCTAAAAAAAATTATTTAATAATTTATTATTGCATTTTTATATGAAAAATAAATTAAAGTATTGTATTGAAAAAATTTTCAAAATATTCTAATATGTCGTAATATTAAAAAGAAAATTTTATCAGTTACAAATTTATTAAGAATTATTACTCAAATTTTTTAAAAAATTTCATCTTCAAATATTTATATTTTTAATTAATTAATACAATTAATATTCATACATAATTATATGTAACCTTACCTAAAAAAAATTATTTTATTATTGATTTTTTTGTTTTGAATTTGAAAAAAAAAAGTAAATGAGGGATCCTGGTGAGTTTTTTTTTTTTTAAAGCTTAGTACAACCAAACTTTTTTTTCCAATTCATTTTAGACATTTCTCTATAAAAATTTTCAAAAACTCTCTCGAGATTCAAAAACTATTGGCGACCTTCAAAGCCAACCCAATTTTCGGCCACCGTGTCGGCCATCGTTTGCTATCATCGGCCTCCGGTCGCCAATGCCAACTGGAGCTCAAAATCTTCAAGAATGACCTTTTCCCCCCTCGTAACTGTTTCGACCTCTATTTAGCCTAAAACAATCCCAAACGGCCTAGATCTGAGTCGAAATATCGTTACTTCCACCCCTTAAAACACATTTTTTTCGCGTTTATCACCGTCGATTTGTCTTATTTTTCTCTCCCTTTTTTGCTATCCTTCCCACCAAATTTCAGGCCTCAAAACCTTTTAAAATGCCCAAACGAAAACCCTCTCCCTTCATTTTGGTGATTTTGGTTTTTTTTTTTTTTGCTTTTAGCATTGTTTTTTCCCGTTCTAGGGGATGTGTGATTATTTTTGTGTTTTGTTCTTTTGGGTTTTTCTGTTAAGGGGTTGTGGGTTGCTTGATAGAAGGTCGGGTGGGTCTTGAGTTTGGTTTTGGTCTTTTTTGGGTGGTGGTGAAAGATGTCTTCGAGTGGGGGTCTTAGCTGGGTTTTTTTGGATGAATGGGTTTTTGGAATGAGTGATGGTGGTGGTTTTTAGGGCTGCTGGTTAGGGTGGGACAGAAATGGTAAAGCTGGAGGTGTATGGGTTGGAAGATGGTGATAGTGGTGGTAACGGTAGAAGGCTCCCTTTCCTGTTGATTTCAACTGGGTTTTAATGAAGTGATTCAAACACATCTCATAAATTAAGCCTTAATTTCTGCAGCCAATGGGAAATGCAGGGTAGGGTGTAGAGGTTGAGTAGGAGATGGGTTTCTGCAGAGTAGGTCAGCTAACAGGGAATAAGAATCTGACAAGGTGATAGCTATGTGCTGGTGCTGTGCCATAATTGAATCTAGATCACATTAGGACAAGAAAGTCAATTGAACCCAATATGCAATGAACAAGTCCATTCTCGACCACAATACCTAATTAAATTTCGAATATCAAAATTATGAATGAAATTTAAGATTCATTTTAATCGACGATGGATAAAATTAAGTATTTACAATTAGCATGTGTTGAATTTGGATTGGATGCAATTAAAAAATGAAAAAATGGGTTATTCTTCTTGAATCATTAAAGTTATTACCTAAGTAGTCATATTTTATATAAATATATAAAAGGTAAAATTTTTAGTAAAAAAGAAAAAAAATTAAATGTGGATGATTTATTCTTTTGATATGTAGAAAGTTTTGAACAATTGTCTTGCATTAATTATTTTGATTTGTTGTTATATAAATTTTATTAATTTAAAAGATATATATTTTGATGAAATTAAGTATATTTATTTTCTTATAAATATAAAATATTATTACTTTTATAAATATGTTACAATTCAATTATCTTAAATCACTTTCAAATAATTTCAATTTTTAATTTTAAACACTAAATATGAACACAATGAATAAAAAATATACTTTAAAAACATTGACTATTTAATATATATAATTTTAGTATTTAATTAAAAAAATAATTTATGTAATGAGTATATAAGTCATATAATGCTAAGAATTCAAACCTAAAATAAAAAGCCTAATTAATTGCAAATATATATTTTTATATTTCTTTCTATATAAATATTAATTACAATCACAGATATTTACCAACATAATTTATTATTTCAAAATGTATTTTCTAATAACCCATTATAATTACTTTGCATAAATTATTCTCAATTTATAAGAAACTTTATAATTCTTACTATAAATATAAATCATGTAAGCTAAAAGTGTTAGGAGGTTACTTTCCAAATGTATGGATTTATGATTAGGTAAATTTTTGTCAATACAATTATATTAATTTTTTATATTAATTTTTGTCCATACAATTATATTAATTTTATTATGACAATGAATTATTTTGATTTTGATTTCTTTTATTGTTATATTTTTGTCAAATTACATTATTCTTTTAGTTTATCAATCATTGTTCATTATAGGAACAACAATGCTAAATATTGATCACCAAGTAATATTTTTTTGCTTTTGTGTTTATAGATGCTTTCCTTTTATCATATTTATTAGTTGGTATTATTTTAATATTTCTCTTTTATTCACTTAATTTTTTATGAAAAAAAAGTAGCTTTCGTTAACATCAAGAAGCATGAGTCTAAAAATCAGGCTTGGAAGTGATCCTAACAAGGTTTGTTGGTTGCTAATCTCACACTTAATTTTAGTTATGTGGTGTGCTAAAAAATAAACAATTCATCTAGTTTGAATGAACTGACAAGATGTATGAGATGAAGTTAAATTCAAAATATCAAAAATCTGTATCTCATATATGTATGATTTGCTTTTGTGATTTTTGAAATAGTTATTAATGAATCATTTTTCACTATGAGGGAATTAAAATCACGTTACATTTATCATGATCACATTTAATAATATAAATATTTTTATTTTGATTACGGAAGAGATCAAAATTGTCAAATTAACTATAATTTTTGTTCAGTTTTGTCTTGATTAATATTACAATTATATATCATGTTTTTCTTTTCAAGATTTGTCTCTATTTCTTTCTTGGTTTAATTAGCTTGAATTGCATTTGTTTCTACTTTATTGTTCTAAACATGACATTGTCCAAAACTTAATCTATTGCTTAATTGTTTTTTTTTATTAAAATAATACAATCAACCATAAGTAGAAAATTGTTTTCACGTACGGTTCATGCTTTTATATAGTTCTAAGAGTTTTTTTAAGATCAAAATTATTAAATTTTAGTCATAATGCATTCTTTATATGTAAGAGATAACAGTATATACTTACCAAAAAAGAGTTTTAAATAAAGTTGGGATCATGACTTATTATCTTTATAAACTTATACTAATTATGGTACTCAATTCATATCCTGATGTAAATATGGTAAATAATTTTATTACAAAATCTTCTTAAAATTTTATTATAGTTACACATTGATCTTTAGTTTTTTTTTTTATTTTTTTATTTTACATCAAAATTTTTATTCTTATATAAAAATTATTAGTTGTATTATATATATATATATATATTTTCATCCTCTAACTCCATAAATATATATATATGTATGTATATATATATCATTTATCCTTCACCTTTAAAATCATTTCTCATTTCCACTTCGTATCCCTCCTCTCTATGTATACATTCATGTGTGTGTGAGATTTAGACCAAGCTCAATCTTCGCTGCAGGCTAGATCTTTCGATTCATTTTTCTTTCTGAAACCGCCTCTTAATTATCTGCAATGGAAATTGCAAGCCTAGTCTTAGAGGTAATCTCTTGTTTGCGGGATTGCAGCGAAGGAAACAGAGAGTACCGTATCTCGATCTGTCATCCCGAAAGGCTTATAAGATCTTTGAAAAGAGATACAGAAAAGCTTAGAGAGCAAAGGAACGATGTGAAGACAAGAGTAGAAAATGCTGAGCGGCAACAAATGCGGCCTAGGGTGCAAGTCGAAGGATGGTTACGGCGAGTAGAAGAACTAGAAGCTGAAATTGACATGGTTGTGAGGGAAGGAGAAAGGGAGGCTCAGCAAAGATGTTTCTGCAACTTTTCTCCCAAAAGATTGAAGTCTAGTTACAACCTCGGGAAGCAAGTATCAAAAAAATTGAAAGCTATTTCTGAGTTGAGAACAGAACTAAGTTTTGTTGATGTGGCTGACATGTTGCCCCCGCCCTTGGTGGATGAAATGCCCCTCGAGGACACTGTGGGCATGGATTTAAATTTCAGGGAGGTTTGGAGCTACCTTTGTGATCAACGAGTAGGAATCATTGGAATATATGGTATGGGGGGTGTGGGCAAAACCACCCTCTTGCGCAAAATCAACAATGAACTAATTGGCAGAGTTGGTCAAGATTTTGATGTGGTGATTTGGGCCGTGGTGTCAAGGGATCTAAACATGGAAAAGGTGCAGGATACAATTGGCCGAAAACTAGGCTTCCCTGATGAGAGATGGAGTAGGATGAGCCAAGAAGAGAAAAGCAATTCCATCTTCAGGGTGTTGAAAACGAAAAGATTTGTGCTATTGTTAGATGATGTGTGGGAGCATTTTGATCTTTTGAGGAGGGCAGTTGCATTTCCCCTTTCGTCCTCTTATTTTAGTGCCCTTTTCTTTTTCCTTTCCGGTTCAATGTTTTCTCCATTGAATGTGGTATACAGCCGTGTGGTGGCAACATTAACTAGGGACTGCTATATGTTGAAGTCAGCTTGTACAGTTGTTTGCTGTTAGAGATGTGAAATTGATTGCATATGGTTTGAGACAACAAATTTGTTCTATCAAGGCAAGTTGCCTGCTGCTTTGGATAAAGTTGTAGAAAGATAGTAGCTATACCTGAACCTATGCTTGAATGTTTTCCCTACAGGAAGGACATATTGGTTTTGATTTCATTAATCAGCCTTATTAGTAAACCATTAAAATAGTTCAAACTTAAATCATAAGTATCCATGGGTTTACCGATTATGCAGTTTGTTCATTATAATAATTATTTTGTTCATTGTCTGTGCGCAATGATGCTTCTGTGGGTTTAAATGTGATCTACAAGGGAACTTTGGATATATGTCTCATTTCCTTATAATAACTTTTTATATTCCGAACATTTAGTGGATTGTTGCAGACTCATCTGGTTTTTTTACTCTATATCTGCTAAGTTTATGTAGCTGTTCTCATGTGTATTTCCCATAGCTCTCTTATTTGCTCATTGTAATTTGAAGAAAAAAGTTAGTAGTTAGCTGAGTACGTTCTTTCCATTTGATTGGTGATTGTTCCATTAGTAATAACATTTATTGTGGTCTTCAGATATCACCAGTTGCAAGAAAAATTTAAGCTTCTGTGAACTTATGTTTGTTGTAATGTGCTATTTTCCTATTGGGCACCATGCACTATGCTGTGTTCATATGTTTTAATGAGATTTGTATGGAAATCTGGGTGTAGGTTGTGTTTTTTTTTTCTGGTAAATATCTGTTGCTATCACATAAATTTTGGTGATGAGTGTCTGCCTGTTGTGAATCTATTTTATTATTTATGTGCTGTGTTCTTGCAACTGTTCCTACGTATTTCCCACTGTTCAGTTTTATGGTTTGGTGAAACTCTAGTGGCAAGATTCATGTTAATTTGTTTCTGATAGTTTCATTGGATATATCATTTCCAATGATCTGCAGATATCCTAGTTTGCACAAGAAAGTCCTCAAGTTTCAGTTTCTTGGTTTCTTGCTGCAATGGGGGATGCAGAAAATGCCCTTCCACCTTCAAAGAAGAGGGCTGCTGGAAGAGAAATTTCTCGGGATAACCCTGGTCTTGATGATGAGGAAGATTCTTGTGAACAAGAAACTGGAACTTTTAAGAAGGCTAGTGAAGAAGTTTTGGCAAACAGAAGAATAGTCAAAGTTCGTAGAAATCAAACCACTTCAACTGCCTCATCCAATCCTTTTTCTGGAATTCGCTTGGTTCCCCGTACAGAACCAACCATTACTCCAGCTACAGCTAGTGCAACCCCTGAATCCAGCGCAACGACCACTGAGATTACAACTGAAGCACCTATTGCCAGTGAGAAAGAAGTTTCAGAAGATGGGAAAAATGACGTTAAAAAATCTGAAAAGAATGAAGATGGAAATAATCAGCAGTCAGAGAAAAAAACAGATGAAACGGAGCCAGAGCTTGCAAAGAATGACGAAAGTAGGAAGGATGAGCCAGTTTCTGACGGTGTTGCTAATAAGGAAACTGCTGAGGATATGAGCAGTGATGTTGTAAATGAAGGAACTCAAAAGGAGGCAAATGATGAAAAACCAGCAGGAGGTGCTAAGACCGAGGATTAAGATAAGAAAGATGACAAGACTGCAAATGCAGGTAACAAAGATAAGAGTAGTGAAAATTCAGATTCAGCTGCAGAAGGTGGATCATTGAGTTCATTCCAACAGCTTTCAAGTAGCCAGAATGCCTTCACAGGACTTGCTGGCACTGGATTTTCTACTTCTGCATTCTCCTTTGGATCTACTACGAAGGATGGTGCTACTGGTGCTTTTCCACTTTTTGGACACAAAAATGATCAGCCTTCTTTTGGTTTTGGTCTTTCAACAAATGGAAACTCTTCCCTCTTCAACACATCAGGGACTTCAATTGTTTCTAACAGCGAGGGAAGTGGTTTTCCAGCCATGCAGGAGGTTCCAGTTGAGACGGGAGAAGAGAATGAGAAAGTGGTTTTCACATCTGATTCTGTGCTGTTCGAATTCATAGATGGAGGGTGGAAAGAGCGTGGGAAGGGAGAACTTAAGGTGAATGTCTCTACAATGGGGGCAAAAAGAGCCAGGGTGCTAATGAGAGCTAGAGGAAATTACAGATTGATTTTAAATGCAAGTCTTTACCCAGATATGAAGCTGACAAACATGGATAAGAGAGGTATTACATTTGCCTGCGTGAATAGTACAGGTGAAGAAAAAGAGGGGCTGTCTACATTTGCATTGAAGTTCAAGGATGCTTCCATAGTCGAAGAGTTTCGTGCGGCTGTAATGGCATACAGAGGTAACACAACTGCTGTTCTGAAGACACCAGAAAATTCTCCTAAAGCCACAGAAGGTTTAAAGGTGTCTCCCCTAATCTGGTCTGTCCTGAACTTGCCATTTGCAGTTAGTCCTTTTTCTTTGTGGAAGCAGGATCTTGATTGCATACGCTTATTCCTAAGCCCTTATATGTAGCAGAGTCAACAGAGACCAATCCAATCCTTTTTGGTTGTTATAAATTGTGTAGCCTGCGGGAGAATGTTCCGACTTTTTTTTTTTTTGGTGTCAATCCTGGAATTAAACAACTGTATCAGCTACCAAGGTATCAAGACATGCAATGTTTGACTGTGATGTGGGCTGAATCCGTGGAATTGCAGCGTAGCCTATTTCATATTTTTACGAGTCCTTAAACTTTTCCTTTATATTAATTAATTCCCCCTCTGATTCCAAATTCCGGAGACAGTGTTGTGTTGTTGTATCTGATAGATTTATCGATGATCGCTCCATTGTTGTTGTACCAAAAACAGAGTTGCAGTATCTCTCATTTGGACAAAGGTTATATAGTCTGTCGAATGTACTCTAAAATAAAATTGCCATCGTAATGTTTTTAAAAACTCCCTTATAAAACAATACTAGATATGAAAAATTCTTAAAAGTATAATTAAAAATTATTCAAAATATTTTTAATTATAATCAATTAAATTTTTAAACATTTATTTACAATTAATTAAATTCTTATTTTAGATTTTCTCATAAAAATTATGTGACATACCAATTGGATTTTATCGTGTGGTATTTATAAAGAAAGAAAAGAAACACATCAAAGTAAAGCAATTTTTTTTTTTTCATTTTCTAATGTCAATTTCTATGAGGAGATTAACAGTGATATTTTGTAATTTAAGTGACTGTAAATAAATGTTTTAAAATTCAATTGATTGTAATAAAAAATAAAATTTTAATGACTTGTTAATTTTAATTAATTATAATTTAAAGACTTTATATATATTTAAATCTTTGTTTTAATATTTTAGGATATGTATTGTATGCAATATTATCATGATGCTGTTAATGACGTGCCCTTTTTACATTCTTTATCTTTTGCAGCTTATTCAAACTAGCCAACAGTTTTGAAAGGAAGGGAGTAGTTGACTATTTTGTTTATTTATTCTATAAAAAGTACATCCTTTCGTACTAGGCTAACTCCTGTTTCTTTGAATAAATAAAATTTAACTCAACTAAAAAAAAGTGCATGTCTCACTTTGTCTGACATGCTAATGGCATAGTTTATATGAGCTTTGTTCAAAACTTGATGATTAATTTACGTAAGAAATTTGAAACTTTCCCAACCATCCATCCAACGAACAATCCCATTTGTGGAAACATAGACGTCCATATCACATATATGGGCAAACAAATAATTAATTGTTGTTCGTTATTGCTTGAGTTGCAGAAGAGTCGTTACTTTGAACTGATGAAAATATAGCAAAATGTTTTACATTCAGATTAACCAAATATTTAATAAGCTTCATTGATTCATTCATTCCCTCACAGAAGAGGAAAGGAGTAGCAGCTGTTAAGATTCTGACGTAGTATCATTAGTTTAAATAAAACATTGGGATTAACCCAACAGGGCTTTATTCATTCACCATCTCTTATATGGGAATTGATCAGTTCTTGGCGCATGTCGCTGAGCAAGCATCCAAACAACTTCCAACTTTCTTTTCAGTTATGGAATTTAAACCACAAAAAAAGTAAAACAAAACCTTGAGTTTACTGTTAATGGTATTTATTTATAATGGAGAGAAAAAAAAAAAGATTATCAGGGTTTTCTTTGGTGCTGAGATTTGAGCACAAGGCGGTAGCACAACCAAGCTTGCAGAAGGATTGGGTGTCTTGGATAGTGCCCACAGTTGATTGGGAAGGATGCAGTTCTTGAAGCATTCGATAGCGCAAGAGCCAGCTGTGGTTTCATATCGAAGAATGCAAGGAACATAGCAATCCCCATAGCAGACTGCAGGGCCAATTATTTGAGCTTTGAACTGTCCTACTAGAATTCCCAACACCAAACAAACCATCAAGACCGATGAAACTCCTCTTTTCTCCATTTTTGTTTCCTTTCCTTTTACAATAACAAGATATATAGATAGAAATCTTGGTGCCTCTTTCTTTTGTACGAGAGAGGCTTATATATAGACTTTAAGTGGTAACCTAAGCCATTATGTGGTCATCATTGTTAAAGTGCTAAATTCTTAATTTTAACGATCAAAATTCAATTTTTGATAATTTCAAGTATTAACAAAAAAAATAAAAATGATAAGTGTATGTGGTGGAAAACTAGAAATCATGCTCCACTTATTTATGCTTACAAATTGAAATCCAGTTAAGTTGGCAATATTAAAGAAATCTATCACAATGCCAAGGATTGAAACAGATTGGTCTGGATTACCTTAATCCAGAAAAACAGTATCTGATTGGTCTAATTCAATGGAATAGGCAAAAGCCAAATATCAAAGATTAAAATAAGTAGAATAATTAATTCTTTTTAAGAAGTAAAACATTCAAAATCTTCTTTCTAGATATGCTTCACGACTTCATTCCTTCCATTATTTCTCTAATTTCTCCAAATAAGAAACACAAAAGATAGTTTTATAAAACTCTTCAAACTTTGCTTATGCAACTATTAATCTTTCAATTTCATTTTGTGATATTAAAAGAATTTACTGAAAGTATGTTAAAAACGAACTCTTTAACTAATTATTTTTAGGGTTTTAATCAATTTATGTTTGTGAAATTTTTGAAGTTTACAACCTACGTATAAATTAATAATTCAAATAAAGATATATAAATGGATAATGGGTTTGTTTTAGTTGCCAAAATAATGGTTCTACCACTTTAGTACAACTTGACTATAATCACTCATAATTTCACTAATGGATCAAAGTGGCATCCCATATTAATAGGTAAAGCAATCCTGATGTTTTGATGAGGCATTGTTGCTGCTACCATTGTTGCTTGTCTTTTTATCTTTTGTATTCCTGGTGGAATATTAATAAAATATATACTGGCCAAAAAAAAAAGAAAATCTTTTTATATAAAAAACCTTAAACTATATTTTTATAATAACAATTTATTTTTATATTTATTTGAAGTATTATAAGGGTTTTTATATATATATAAAAAGACAATAGTATGAGTATATTAAAAAGATATTATCATATGTGAAATTATATATTGCCAAAACAACATTATTGAAAATTTGAAATGTCGAACAAAAAATTGTCACAGAAAATGAGACAAAGAAAATTTTTAATGTAATACTCCTTCTGTCTCATTTTTGTTATTCATTTTTTTTTTTTTGGATATCTCAAAATTATATACTATTTTTTAGAATATTTAAAACTTTTATTTTTTTATATTTTAAAATTATATTTTTACTTTTTAGCATTAAAAATCATAAAATTTTAATTTTATAAAAAAAATTTTAAATTTAATATTAAATACATTAAAATAAAAAACTTATTTTTAAATTTCATGAAAATAATACATGACAAACATTTTAAGGAGGAGGAAGTAATGGGTTTAAGTGGGCTTATATCATGGGTTGGGGGTTGGGTGGGGGTTTGTCTGTTGTTACACAAATAGTCACTATAATCTATAGAGGTGAATTTGATTTTAATTGAGTTAATAAATCAAATCTCTTTTAATTTAATTAATCAATCAAATATTAAATAAATTTTGATCAATTTTTAAAAATAATTTTACTGAATATGTTTTATCCTTAATAGAACGGAGTAATTTGTAACATGGAATGGTAATATATAAAAATAGACATTTTATCTAAAATCACTTGTTGTAATTGTGTAATAAAGTAAATGATAAATATGGTATATGTAGGTGGCATATTATATAAAATAAATACAAAATAAATACGGTAAATGACAATCTCAAATTTTTTAAGATATTTTACTGAACTTATTCAATTGCATACATACATACACACACATACACACATATACATATATACACACACATACACACATATATATATATGCTAATGATTATTATCCAATATAGCCATGATAAAATTTTTTAATTCCATAAACATAAATAAAATATTCCATTTCTTTTTAATGCTCTAATCGGATTTTTAATTCAACATCATCTTCCTTATTTGTAATTAAATTGAATATATAAAGACAGCAAATATATATATATATATATATCTTTTGTAGAGTTTTTGAAATCATTGCTAGTGTATGAAATAATTATAATTCGAACAAAAATTTATAAATGGTTTAATGGGTTTTGCATTAATTGATAGCTAAAATAATGATTTCATTTTCACCACTTAAACAAGACTATAATCACCAATAAGCCCACCAATGGATCAAAGTGGCATTACATATATTATATTAACTTAAATAAACCCCGTTAATGATGTTAATTTGTGAATTGTGAATAATTGAGTTTTCTTTTTTGGCCATCAATTGAGTTTATTTTAATTTAATAAATGAAAAAAAAAATGTAGGCAACTCATTGCCCTTTTGTTCCACTTTATTTTACGTATTTTTTTTATTACATTGAATTAATATATTAGTGTTTTGTCTTCATTAAGAAATGAATTTGTGTTTTTTTAATTTTATATTGTGTTATTAAGAAATGAATTAATATATTGTGTTTTATTTGGACAATAATACATGCCAATTCTGGTGGATAATGATACATGCCACAAAATAAGATTAGAATATATATTTTAATATACTAATGGGCTTAATTATGCTCGTATATATGCTGGTGGTGTTTTGTCAATTTTTACTGAATCCTCTTCCACTTCTAATTTCAAGTGGACATATAATGGGCAAATACTATTGATTCTGATTTTTAAAATTCAAAATAAAAATGTATTAATTACCCGTAATTCTTGTCAATATAAAAATATAAAATATTTTTTTTAATTTTATTAAATCATATACATAATTATTATTAAAATTTTAAATTTTATAATTTTTTATATATATATTTTTATATTATGTTCATATTATATTATCATATTGTAATTTAAATTATCATATATAACTGTATGTGGTAGAAATGTACTCCACTAGGATTACTTACAAATAAAAATGGAGCTAAGTTAGCAATGTCAAAGATTCATTAATTGCCCTAAAATAGATATATATGAACTAAACTGTTCAGTAGCCCAAAGCACAAAAACAGACGGTTTTGTATCAACCAATAAAAATTTTGACTGCCAATTATCCAAAATATCCCGATTAATTAATCTTAAAAACATAAATTAATTGCCCACAGAAATTCAATTAAACACACTTGCCACAATATTGTGCTTTGATTTTGTAAATGTCTTACCAAGAATGCTTTGGGATGACAGTAATCTTTAGGCATTGATTGAAATATTGTACTAGTATAATACAAAATAAAATAAAAAAAAAGTGTGAAATTTCAAACAAAATATGTCACACGAAATACGATTAATAATTTTTTAATAATAATAATAATAATAATAATAATAATAATAATAATAATAATAATAATTATTATTATTATTATTATTATTATTATTATTATCT